ATCTTGGAAAAATCATAATTTTACCCTCTCTATTTGTTGAAATAGGAACTGGTTTACACGGGTTTAGGGGAAGCCAAGTCCGGTGATTTGCTATCTCAGCCCCCAAGGAGGGGAATTCACAAATATTCAAAGGGGGTTTCTGGTATGCACATAGATAATTTGCCGCTTCCTAAGAAGTGAACCCGCAGACTAGTGCACCGCCGACTAGTGGACCCTCTCTCTGCTGGACAGAGATTAAGAGAAATCTGTATCGCTGAAAATTACTTTTGTAATTAATATACAATGCGAAAGCATCGCCACAATCCCTTGGGCCTGAAGATTCATTGTAGGCGTCTCTAATACGGATGATACACATAAGGAAGTTTTGGTTTTCATTAGGTAGGGTTTTTTTCAGTTTATCAATAAGGTAAAAATGTTTTAGTTGGTTTTACGCGGCAGCTTTAAGCGACCACTAAGTCGAATCGATATCAGCGTATATTTTCTGATAGCAGAACTCGCGACTTGCTAATATACACCACTCAATGACTGACTGCATGAAAAGTCACAGTCCAAATCAATGCTTACTGTTAAGGATTTTATACTAAGCGTAGATTAGATTTACATTGCCGATTATTGGATTAATTCTTTAGTCAGGTTAGCTTTTACTTTCTTTTTATTTAGTTTAGTTTTTTATGTGCATGCAGTGTCTGCGATATTTTTATTTACAGTGTTAATAGCCTATAACTTAATATTTGTTTTAGATTTGTGAATCCATTGGCTATTCGAAACCATCGTTCTTATATAATAAGTAACTGAGTTTTTAGCGATAGAAACACTGTAATAATCGTATCAACTCTTTACAGGTTTCGGGAATCGCGGTGGCTCAGTGGGTAAGACGCTGTCTCGCTAACCTGGAGGTCCCCGATTCGAACTCGGTGTTGACTGAGGAAGTTCCTCGGAATTTTCGATCGTGTTTCCCCTTGTCAGTGATTTAGGGCCAAATGCCTGGCAAGGTACAGTGTCTAATCGTTCGGGTGGGACGATTCCGTGTAGACCTTGGTGTACACGTAACAGAATCATTGATAGTTGGAGTGTCCCTCACGGCAGACTTCATGGTGTATTTGCACGGTTGGAGCAGAAAAATAGGACCGTTACACCCCCCACCTTCCCGTGTTCATTCATTCATTCATTTAAAGGTTTCTTTTAATAGTAAAATGTCATCCTTGGTATTTTTGTTGGTGCAGAAAGGCGTTTCTTTGGAATACTGGGTAATTTAGAAATAAGAGACATGTCAGGTCACAGTCCATCCAAGCAAACTAAATTCGGTTGCAGTGAAGGCAAAATGTACCCCCCCCCCCCCCCACACACACACAGCAGATTCCATGGTATATTTGCACGGTTGGGACAGAAGAATAGGACCGTTACCCTCCTCCACACCCTACCCTTTTCATTCATTCATTTAAATATTTCTTTTTATACTGAAATTTAGTATGTTGCCCTTAGTGTTTTTGTTGGCGCAGAAAGGAGTATACTTGGTCTTTTAGAAGTAAGAGACAATTAAGGTCTCAGAATACCGCGCAAACATTCTCAAGCTTAAGTTAAGAATTTACTCAAAATTATTCCCCTTAATTTAACTAAATTATAGCTCCTTATAAGGCTCTTGTTGTTTTAATATACCAAATACATCAATAAAAAATATGTGCAAAGTTTTGTGTTTCTGAATATGAAAGATATTTCTAACAAACAGTGATTGAAAGTTGGTTAAATTCTTAACTTAAGTCCAGAGAATGCTTTGTGAAACCGGGGCCTGAAGTATAACGCCTGACGGATACAGCCAGTAAAATAGTAAATTTGCTCGTACTCTAAAAATACATACCAGATTATCTTTATGTATCAAATAATTTATATAGATTTTCCTTGTCATCCCACATACTAAAATGTCTGTTAAATACACGCCTACATAAGGTCAGCTTTTGGATATAAAAAGAGCAAAACAAACCAGCAAATAATGTTATAAAAAAACATTGCTGCAAGATTGTAGTAAACAAATTCTGTTTAGGAATTTAAATAAATTCAGCATTTGTTTAAAGAAATATCGTACTAGTTATACATGTAATCTTGTCATTTGTAATCTACGCTGTTTAGACGGTGAGAGGAATTTCCTATCTGAGAATTAGTCAAAACAACCGAGTGTGGCATTTAACCATTTAGATGAAGTTTTGACACAGCTGTCATTTATGAATTGTAACTTTATTAAAGGACAATACGCGGATAGTTTGTCATATTGTATTGGTCTCAAATCTCTAGTGGCATGTCCCGTTGATTCTATTAACTAAACGAAAAGTCGTTGGAAAGGTAAGGAGCTTCATGTTGATTCTGAATAGTATAAATATAAATGTGTTCTACAGGGACACGGGCCCCAGCGCTAACCACAGCGGTTGCATCTCACTTATTGTCAGTCGTGTAAAATGCAGTGAATATAATGCCATATTTAAGAGGCATTATTGAGATTTAGAGAAAGAGATGATCGTTCTCGCTATAAATTGTTCAAAAATAGATAATAAAAAATGAATGTATTTAAGCGAAGTTATGAATAGCTACTTTTATCGGGTTTGGGGCAGCGACTTTAATTCAATTTGTATTACTTTTAATCCAATTAAGACTTTTAATATTAGAAAGGAAAGCTGTGTATACATCTATTGTCAGTGCTTTTCGGTAAATTTCTACTTTGCCAGTTATATAATCAGTTAATGCAGATATGTCGGACATTTTCTAATCCAGCGACCACAATGTCGCAGGGTTTTGTGGGGTTTAAGTCCAAAGCCTAAGAACAACCTTCTTTAAGCAGTCCATAGCTTCTGGAATCTCGTTCCCGTCTCTATTAGGACCCCATCTAGCTATATGTAGTATGAACTTACTCTTTCTTGACTATCTGGTTTCGCTTTTGTTTGGGGTGATTATGATGGATGTCAATTTTTTCAAGTTGAACAGTCAGTATCGGATGGACAAATGTTAGTGTGTAAAACGCAGAGGATATAATGCTATGTTAAAGAAGCGAGATTTACAGAAAGAACTGGCCTTTCTTGTGTATTGTTTCGGTGTGGGTGAAGTGGCTTGTCCCCGAGAAGCTTAGATACCCCCTCCCCCTTCCCGGTTCCAACGGTCCTGTTATGTATTATGGTATGCTAAATAGTATATAGCACGCTATGTTTATAAGAGGTTGATCTGGAACTTCTTTCTACAGAATTATAAGGTTATCCAAGAGGTAATTCACACTAGTATAAATCACTTACAAGCACATGGCTGGGCAACCAAATCTCTCAGAAAACAGTTGTGAAATTTGGACAAAAGCGGCCTTACTAACTCCGACAAAAGTGTGCTTCTTTTTGTCAATTTCACTTATTCATAATTTTATCAATTGCTTATGAAATCATTAACATTTTGTTGTGTAGAATATGCATATCTTTAACATATTTCCATATCGGCTAGATTTTACATTACTTTGGGCGATATTGACAAAAAAACCCGCTCTTATCGGTGTCTGTCCTTGTCGCTGATAATATGGAAATTGCAAGATGGAATCTATCTGCCAACTGGCATTTGCTAATTTCAACAATTTATAATGTTAAACACAAACATTTAAATTGAATTTAGATGTTCTAAAATTGAATACTACTTTGTCGTTACTTTGTTAAATTACAATGTTTTCCTTTTCGCCAAAGACCATTAAATGGATATTTATACATGTGTCTTGTTTTTCTTCTTTAATAAATCGTCTATTTTCTCTGCAGGATCAATGGTCTCTGTCTTCTGCAACTACAAAATGGAAATACTTAACGTGAAAATCACATTGCCGTTAGGATTGATTGCGTTTAATCTTTTTTAATGGGGAAAAAAGGAGCCATCGTAATGCTTTACTGTTGTTAATAGAGATTCTTTACGCCCGCCTCCAACGGGGTGATATCGCAGACAGTTTTCGTTGCCACTGTATAGTGAGTTATTGCACATGCGAGACTTATAATTTGAAAGTTTGAAGCCCTTACCCCCGAAACTCCCCCTCCCCCTTCAATGTACCCAATACGTTTCCATTGTAAACTATCATACTAAATATTACCGTGTGTTAGTCTCAGAAATATCTAGGGGTCTTTAGCTGTGGGAGGAACCCAGTAGACCCGGACAAAACCCACGATGTTGGACATGCGCCCCTACTCCTTACCACTTACAAACTTAGTATCGAAACCACGTCATTTGTCTGAATGAATGTCCTTAAGACCTAAAGCACACGTGTATGAACACTCGACCACCAACTCCTCTTAAACATACATTATGCAAGAGCTAAATCTGCCTATTGCAGGTACGCCTGAAATGTTATCTAAATTAATAATCAGACATTAATTAACATATCCAGACCATAATCAACTCTCGGTGGCATCGCTAGCCTGCGATATTTACTGGATTAGAACCCGATCTGTTGCTTCTGATTAAATCAAAAAGTGGATAATCGAGACAATGTTTTTATCGTAACGACTTTAGTAATGATGATCGAGGCGAGACCTAAATTTTCAGCAAATTCCCTTTACATTATCTAGTTTTTAACTATTATAGTGAGAACTACCAGCTCTTTATCTAATCTCCCATAATGTATCTTTAAGTACCAAATATGTACTTTTAACGTACAGAACTATCCATATATTTTGTATAGAGAGAAAGTCTGGCCAATTGCGGCCATGGTAATCAGTTTGTCACCGAATCTGTAAATTTAATAGAATAAAAAAAACCAAAACAAAACAAAAAAAAATTAATAATATAAAATACCGGTAATAAGTGTCAGAATGATAGATATGAATGGGATACAACGGGTCAGCAGTGTGATCATGTGCACGAATGCGTAATTGCATAGCACTAAGATAACTAACTAACTAAAAAAAAAACCCCCAAAAAAACCCAGTTTGTTAGCCAATCACAATTGAGACAATAGTTGACCAGAATCTATATATGGGTCAGGTCTATATATTAAGGACAACTGCAGCTTTTGTCAAGGGCACGAGATGTATACAGGGCGAGTGCTAACGCTAACCCTACCCATAACCCGAAATACATCTAGCGACCTTGACGAAATCTGCAGTTGGGCATAATGTTTAGACCTGACCCTAAACTATTATCTTGTGAGTACAGTGTACGTAAACGATGTTTAGTCGATCGTGATATATTGTTGCACTGACGAAATATCCCGAACTTCTAGCTGAATAGTGCCTAGTGGAGCAGGTGGTACAAAGGTAAATTAATATTAAAATGTAGACAGCTTTTAATCGCTAATAGTAATCAGAATAATTGCCGACATGGCGTGACTCGTGTGTCTTGGACCATCACTTTAAATAAAATGGGGTTTAGCGTTCTATCTTTCTGCACCGACTGGGCTAATGAAGACATGCGTACGCCATACAGTGTGCTATGAGAGAATTTTCACCCGGACAGTGGCGCTAGTATGGAAGCCAATAACTACCATTCGTAATGTCTACTTTTTGCCCCTTCAGAACGCGAAAGTCGAAAAGTCGAAGCTACGACAAAATGTGAGGCGACAGCACGCTACACAAGCCAATATTGACTCGAAAATAGGAAATTAAGAAAGACGACAGCAAGCCAAAATAATAGGTCGCTTATATCGCGGCGTATTAATGTCCTAATTTCTACATTTCGAGTTGCATTTCGACTTTCTTTGCGTGTTGGCCCTTTCTTAAGGACATTAATAAACACAAAAATATGATTAAGTCGAAAGTCGACATCACACTACACAAGTCAAAATCCAAGTCGAAAAGGAAAAGTCTCAACAAAATGAGGGGTGCTATTATTGCGGACTTTGCGGTTAGTTTATTTCTTAATTTCCCATTTTCGAGTAGATTTTGACTTGCGTACCGTGCTGTCGGCTCGCATTTTGCCTTAACTTACTTTTCGACTTTCGTGTTCTGAAGGGGTCGAAAGTAGAAACTACGAATCGTAGTTATAGCCTTCCATACGCTACGACCTACTGTTATATCGAATTCCAACTGTTTAGGGCGATTTTACGTGCACGCCAACGTGTACACTGGACCTCGTTTTTTTGCCCCATCACTGACAAAGAGGAACCACGCTGGATAATCTCGAAGGACTTTTTCGGCCAAAGTACATCACTTTAAATAAGATGAACTTGATTTGTAAATATGCGACAGAGTGACCAAAATCGATCTACGCCAGGCTTGTCTTTTTATATTGACATACCAGAGCACAAATAGAATGTCTAGATAATTTGTACATTTAGTCAACCTATACTTAGAAACAATTATCTATTTTAAAGATAGGGCCAGGGTAGATACTCCAGTTTCCTACGGCTTCTAAGTATCCCTACAGGGTAACGAATTATTTAAATAAATCTACCATTATTGTACCAGTTCCAAATGACCCAGTTAGTGTTATGTTGACGTTAGACTTCATATTATCTTCTATCTCTCTAATTTTAAAAAAATAAATGGTGACATCTATCCTGCTCATATTAAGGTATTAACAGGGTCGTCTTTAATAGCACTGGATTCTATACTTAATAGGATTTCAAATTTAATCTTCTTACGGGCAGTTTGCCAGATACCAGTATTTCTTCGTTGTTAAAATTACATAAATAAATAATCTCTTGACACCCAACAAAAATAAAATTGCCGGGTTGTACGAATCTTGGGCAGACTGGATGATTTTATAGATGGGACCAGGTCTGGTGACAACTGGGATTGTATAGCTATTGTTACTTACTAGGATGTGTCGTAAGGGATATGTGTAAGGCTATGGCTGACTATGGGTGTTTATAAGTAGCGGAGTATCTCGGGGGCTAGGACTGTGAAGCTATGGCGACTGACTATGCTGCGTCGTTGGGGATCTGTGAAGATATGGTTGACTGTGTGTCTAAGTAGCGGCTGATCGATGGTTCTAGCCCCACCCCCCCTTCTCCTTGCTGGGTCTGTGTAACTATAGGGTTGCTGACTAGGCTGTGCCTTTTGGAATATATGATTATAATATGTGATGTTTTTCGAACATATCCCTTTGCAGTTCGATTTTCTTTCAAGAAATGATGTTACAGAGTTTGCTCTTATGCAAATTCAACCCAAAACGTTATGTTGATGGTGATGGTTCAACGTTTTCCATTTTGTATCTAGTCTGTTATTAATTTTAGTATTGAATGCTAATTAAATGGGCGCGGGTACAGGAATGAAACGACCATAAACGTTCCATTTCGTCTGCCGATAAGCTCTTTGGTCAGGATTAACGGACCTAATTGAAACAAAAAGTCGAACATTTCTGTTGATAGTATAGGGGTCTCTACTGGGCTTTTTATATAAGACAGAGCTTGGTCGTTTAACGTTTTGAAAACGATGTTGAATTGAATTATTTGAAGAATTCGGAGCCATATGAGGAGATGTGCTAATGGCTTCTGTTGATTTGCGTTTAGAAGTCGAGCAACTGAATTTTGAATATAAATTGAAAGTACATTTATATTTCGTATACCGATCACACAAGCCCTACTTACTTCGGTCTTGCATAATTCACGGGGGTCACAGTGAAATGAAATGGGGTTTAACGTCCTACTGTTCTGCTCCTATACTGGGCTAATGAAGACGGGCATACGCCATACAGTGTGCTATGAGGGAAATTTTGCCCGGGCAGCGGCACTATCGCCTACTCTTATATCGAATTCCAACTGCCAAGGGATCTTTTACGTGCAGGGATCGGTCCCTGCATTGGCCGAGAAAGTTCATCCAGATTTTCCGGCGTGGCTCCCCCTTGTCAGTGATGCAGAACGGGGGGCCTAACAAGGACAGCTGTCTAGTCATTCGGATGGGACGAAAACCCGAGGACCCATGTGCACATTGGCGTGCACGTAAAAGATCCCTTAGCAGTTGGAATTCGATATAAGCGTAGGCTGTAGTGCCGCTGTCCGGGCAAAATTTCCCTCATAGCACACTGTATGGCGTATGCCCGTCTTCATTAGCCCAGTTCGGAACAGAACTATAAGACGTTAAACTTCATTTCATTTCGTTTAATGCATAATTGACTGTTATTGTTTATAACCATTCTTTGCCCATAACAAAGGCTCATCTTTATTTCTGAGCGGCCAGATCATGTCATATCAGATGACTGATTGTACTTGAGAGTAGTTGCTAACAAGATAGAAACGAAAGGGGGTTTGTATTAACTCGATCGAGTAGCTATCAAGAGGGCGTCTAATATATCCGCAGATTTACTTTGACAGACATGTGTTTGCCTCAGGTGGTGTCTCCAGTAATATGTGCGTGTTCGATAAAACTTAATTCTTTAATACGCGGTATTAGGCTTAAATTGTATTTCGTGAGATGTGGCAGTTAGCATATTGTCCTTAAGCCTTCCTGTTACGATTTTCTCTTCTGTCAGAAATAGAAACATATTATATCATCTAGTCGGATGCGATATATTTTAGGGCTTATCGTTTTTTTCCTGTTAAACTAATTGTGTATAATATAAAAATAGTGTATGGAATAAATAAAAACAACACTTGAAGTGGCAGTGTGTAAGCGTGCTCGAGGTTCTAATTGCTGATAGGCTAGAAAGCTCAACGAAGGAACATGTTTTTAGTTCAACCATTCCATTAATTACTAGCTTGTTTTATAATATGACCTCTTAGTGCAAATGCACTGGTAGGTTGTTCCTAGACGTGAATTTTCTTTGTGTTGGCAGAGAAAGTTCATCGGCGTGGTTTCCTCTTGTCAGTTGTTCGGATAGTACGAAAAAACTAGGTCCCGTGTATACATTGTCAGTTGGAATTTGAAATAAGAGAAGGCCATAGTGCAGCTGTCCGGGTAAAATTTCTCTCATAGCACATTGTATGTATATGCCCGTCTTCATTAGTCCTGTCGGAGCAGAGCCGTAGGACGTTAAACCACATTTCATTTCTATATCTCTAAATATTGCAGTATAAACATAGCGTAGCCGTGCAAAACACATACGCCCATCAGCAGTCTTTTAAAAGGCAAGTTTTCATGATCAAGGAGGCGAATAGGTTTCGATGGCCATGAGTAACTCTGCGAAAAAAAAAGTCACACGGTAATAAAGTTCCTCAGATTCTGCACACAGAAAACTTTTTGCTTTGAGAATAGAACCCTGTCCTGAATGGTCGTCATATCACCTATGGAATTCTCACGTATCAGGTCAGACGATTATTAAAGAAGGCAAACACTGACAGATCTTAAAAGCCAATGGAAAACCGCGACCAACCATTATCGCACAACCCAAAGGAACTATCTACAAAATAAAAAGAAGCTCAGAACACAAGTCAAGAGCCCCAACTAACACATCGGTCATAGCAGAACATTTGAAAGACCACCCACGACTCAAAATAGATTGGGGCAAGGTAGAAATTCGGACTGCAAACCGACACAACAAGAAAATTAGTCAAAATAAAAAAGAAAGAAAACACATCAAAAGATTTTTAGCAGAATTAAATAAAGATTTGGGACTGTTTATTCTTAGGACCTATGAGGGAGTTATTATTAAAAATTAATCAATGTACATTTCACAAGGTTGTGATTGCCAATTATCCTTCTCCGTTTTTAACTTTCAACGGCTCGGTATCAATCCCTCGGGGACGTTATTACTGTGTTATTTTCCATTAAATTATGCTTTGTTATCTTATTATGGTGCTACACACTATGGTTTCATATTAATCTATATGTTGTTGAATAGGAGATTTTTACGTCCGCTTCCACCGAAGTGATATTGCAAACAACCACCCTCTATCGGTCTCTAAGTCTCTGGCTAGATTCCCCCTTCGTGTCTGGTGTTTTCTTATTCTTGGAATATAAATCGATTTTCGGTGGGTATTGCTCGGTATTTCGGTGATGAAGGGGGTGCCGATTTTTTCCCCTTCTCCTTTTCTTGATGTTGTTACGTACGGGGGAGACTTCTTTACTTGTTTACTTTTTGGGATTGTGTTCTTTACTGGTTTGACTGTGGGTTTAATTGGCGAAACTTGCTGCACTACTAGTATAACTGTTGACTTTGTTATGGACTCCTTTTCAGGGCCTCGTAGAGGGCACGCTTTCCGGGGTCGACCAAACTTCTCGGATCTAAAGCATGGAGAAGGTTAGCCTGGTGTTACAATTCTTACTCTTGCATCTCCGTCATCTGCCTTTAAAATTATCAGATGGGGTATCTCTTAAAATTTTGTCTTAGGAACTTCAACTTCTACTTCTCTAATTCTTTTGTATACATTAGTTCCGGG